AACCAGAAGCTCAACTCACTGTCAACTAATTATAATTGAACTACGGTTGAATCAACGGCAAATACGATGCACCGCCACCGTCGCCGAGGTAACTGTTTGTCGCAGTTGTGGTTCTTCTTTGTCTCCTCGTCTCAGTTCACAACAGAGGCTGAGCGCCATGCGTCCAGTGCACTCGTCTTTCACACCGCCATACGTTGGATCTGTTGGAGTATTATTGGATGGCGCAACGCCCTCGTGGAACTTGAATGCATCCACCCTATCTACCACCCCTGCTGTGCCATTATAATTAACCGCTTGCCGACGATCCCCATCGATCCCCACCGCCCTCCTTATTGATCTCCGTGCAAGTGTGGTAACCTCATCATGGAGCATTTGTATAAAGGAGCGCTTTCTCGACGGAAGGGAGCCACGGCACTTTCCTTCGATAGTCCTTTAATCCGCCCTTCCTCACTCCCCTTCCACCGACGGTCATTATGCATTTCAACAAATTCTTTACCTCGGTTCTGCTCGCGGTTGTCTACGCATCAAGTGTCACCGCTGCCCCGGCACCCTCCCCGGCCCCAGTCTGGTCCAGTGCGAAGCATACGACACACCGGAAGCGCGAGCTCCGTAGCGGTCTGACGCTGGAGACTTTCCACCCCGCGAGCACCTATGAGGTAATATCTCTGAACACCAAACGATGTGGCAGCTCAACTTTTGACTAGACATTCGGCGAAGGCATCGACCACCCGCTCCGCAAGCGTGCTGGGACAAGCCTCTTAGATTCGGCATCTGCGTTCCTCCAAGACAAGCTCAGCCTCAAAGCGGAGAACGCCGTCTTTCACGCTGGGTTTTCCGGCGCCCATGCTCGATATGCCTACGCTAAGCAGTCTCACGTAGGTCTGCCGCGGCATACACCGCATCCATCGTCTTATTGTTACCCTTTAGGAAGGGATATTTTTCGCAAACGCTGTGGCCAACGTGGCGTTCAACAACGCGGACAAGGTAGTCGCATTCGGCTCCTCATTTGTCACTCCCAGTAAGATGCTCAACCGCACGATCACATTCAATTTAATATTTACTTGAACCGGCGCAGCGTCCATTGCATCCTCCACTCCTTCTATATCGTTCGACGCTGCCCGCGCAACTGCTGAAGAGCAGCTCGGGGGGTCTCACGACGGACTACCCGCCCCGGAACTCAAGTACTTCGCCAAAGAGGACGGCTCCGCAGCTCTTGTTCACGCTTTCCAAGTACGTGACGAGCCGGCCGGCACCTGGTACGAGGCGCTCGTCGATGCACACGACGGCAAGCTGCTCTCGGTCGTCGATTATGTCGCCAAGGCTTCAGTACGTCCATCGTCGTTGCACTCTCGTTCCTCCTTGCTGATGACCGCACAGTATCGGGTATTGCCCATCACAAAGCAGGCACTCACCGAAGGCTTCGAGACACTCGAGGATCCTAGCGACCCTGACGCCTCTCCTAACGGATGGCATGACACCGACGCCACCAACTCCTCCTCAACCACATCGTATGTTTCTCCATCTCCTTTCATTCAATTATATCTGACGGCTCCCTCCAGCGGAAACAATGTGCAGTCTTTCAAAGGCAGCGCCACAACAGGTGTGACCAAGCAGTCCGCCGACGGTGAGGTGTTCGAGTACACCCAGGACGCGTCTCAGGAGCCCACCGTGGCCGACAATGTCGCTGCAGCGATTGTGAATAACTTTTATGTGGTCAACACAGTCCACGACATCACTTATCGGTTCGTTCTTTCATTTCATTATTTCATTCCGTTGATGTATTTACTGTCCTTTTAGCTACGGCTTCACCGAGGAGGCGTTCAACTTCCAGAACGATAATCTCGGCCATGGCGGTGAGGCGGGCGACCGCGTTACCGCATCGATCCAGGACGCGGCTGGGACTGACAACGCGGACTTCTCGGTTCGTGTATTCATCGATTCTTCCATTGCTATGACATTCTCATACTTTTTATAGACACCACCTGAGTGTGTTTCTTTCTTGCCCTCACCGTATGCGCGTTTGCTAAATTTTCCATTTATCTCAGTGGCCAATCAGGACACATGCGCATGTTCCTTTTCACTGCTACCAAGGTACGCGTTCTCATTCTTTGTCTTCCGTTCACCTTCTCATTATTATTTGCTGCACACAGCCCAAACGCGATGGCGCACTGGAGAACGACGTCGTTGTCCACGAAAATATGCACGGCGTCTCGAACCGCATGACGGGCGGCGGCACCGGCGCGTGTCTGCAGACCCTCGAGGCGGGCGGCATGGGCGAGGGATGGTCCGACGCACTCGCCGAGTACGCTGCGCATTTTTTACTCCTCTTTCATACTGACCACAGCGCGGCAGGTGGACGGAACAAAAGTCTGAACAGATCACGGACTTCACCTTGGGCGCATACATCATCAACGACCCCGCAGGCATCCGCACCCACCCGTACTCTACCTCCAAGTGAGTCGTGTCCCAGAGTTACTGCAGTATCTTTTGGCTGACCGGACGATGTAGGGAAGTCAATCCCTTGACGTACGCAAGCGTCGGTACGCTCAACGAGGTGCACAGTGCGTTGCTATAATTTCCTTCTCCTCTATCCCTAAATCTAATCAATTGTACTTTTGCAGACATCGGTGAAGTGTGGGCCAACATGCTCCACAACGTGTACGCCGCGCTCGTTGGAGAGCACGGGTTTTCCTCAACGGCATTCACGACCCCCGACGGCCCCGAGGGCAACGTCGTGTTCCTGCACCTGATGATCGACGCCCTCGCACTGCAGCCATGCGAACCCACTCTGTATGTCACAGACATCTATTATTTTTTGGCACTAACCGCTCTTTTATTCTCAGCCTGACAGCGCGCGACGCATGGATCCAGGCGGACCAGAACCGCTACGGCGGGGCGAACAAGTGCCTCATCTGGAACGCGTTCGCGAGCCGCGGCCTCGGCGTGAACGCCCAAAACCACGAGGACGACGCATCCGTTCCCGCCGACTGCTAGGGCTTTGCCCGCCGACTGCCAGGGCATCACCAGTGCCTGCCTCCTAATTTAATAAACTGGAACTTTGTATCGCTAGTTTGTCTGCTACCCACACCACTCGCTCACGCTCACCCACCTGCTCCCATCTTTGCATAATGATCCTGTACTATACCCTGCGGATGTACATGTAGACGGTCATTTATAGACTTGATTTCTCTCTGTCATCGTATTCAAGACGAAGCTCTCCTGTCAATCGTGGTAGCTGGGAAAGTTGAGTGTTTCTCAAGGTGGGCTCCGTCGGTCGACCATAGAATTCACAGTGGTGTTGAACTAGAATGCTTAGCTCATTGGGATATGTCGCATTTTCCTATTATTAAGCATAAAGCAATAGTTAGATTCCGATTCGAGCAAGTCAAAGCCGCTACCGCGAACAGTCGGTTCAAGTTCCCTAATCATATCAAGTAGGCATGGAGAGCCCTAAAAATGACTTCTGAGCGACCGTCAATGCAGAGGCTGACATAGAACAAGAAGGTGAGCCTAAGTGCAAGTCTGAAACTCAAAAAGTTGCGGTTCAGAAAGTCAAACAGCAAAAAATGTGAAAAAGAAGTTCCGATACGGGAAATTGAACCCCGCGCTACCGCGAGCAGTTTACATGAAAGTTGGAAAATAATAGAACTTCTTAGAAGGAAGGAATTGAACATGTACTATGGGCGAGAAAGGTAAAAACAACAGACAAAAATAAGTTCCGGTGCGGGGAGTCGAACCCCGCGCTACCGCGTTTCTCGCTGCCACTCCTAACGCAAGTACTAGTAGTAAGACGTCGGATGCTTCAAGATGTGATTTTTCGTTTACCTCTTCCGCGTGCAGGCCCTGATATATGGCGACAGTCATATCGGTGGCCTGCCCGTTGGCCGGTATTCGGACCGCATACATGCGTCTGGTAGAACCAAGCCCGGCTCTACGTCGGCGGGTGACCGCGCGAGGTTTGGTCTCAATTTCATGTTGGACATTAATGTCTCCGAGAGGAACTGTTCTGAAGTCTGCCAATACGGCATTAATATTTCGACTACTAAGTAGAAGTAGAGTAGGTTATTTACCGACTCCGGGGGCGTCCGCATTCGAATAGGTCGTTAGATGGTTTGTAGAACTTGTGAAAGATCCACCGTTGATGATGAAGTGCTCTGCATTGGAAAACAAGGTCCCCATGTATCTAAATGAAAGACCTGAACTACCACTGAAGCTGCCAGCGCATGAAAGCACATGTACCTGGACTGAGTGACGTGGGTTGAAGGTGGTTGTCTTGTCCAAGGATGGCAGCATTAAGATGCGCAGCGAAAGGCGAGTGTACACCTATAATTATTGATGAGGCGGTGCATTGGCTGTGGCACTAACTCGGAAGTTGCAGGTGCTGTGCATAGAGTAAAAATGGGCGACCGTGACGAGTGTTGACAGCCAAGATAAAAAGGATCTTCGACAACTGTAACGTCATAACAGATAATGAAGAACGAAAAATTGCGGTGCGGGGGTTGAATCGCGTTCTACCGAAAATTTCGAAAATGATAAAAAGAATTTGGATGGAGGAAACTTGGAGACTTGTGCTAGCGCAAAGGCGAGCAAGGAAAACAAAACGCAAAAAGAGCTTCCGATGCGGGGAATCGAACCCCGCGCTACCGCGGGCGGCTTACATAGTGAAGGTCACAAAAAGTTGGAGTTCCGAGGAACATAAGCGTGCAGTGATGTAAACCCAAAAATGAAAAAGTTCCGGTGCGGGGAGTCGAACCCCGCGCTACCGCGACCAGCTTACATGAAAGTCGGAAAATAATAGAACTTCTTAGAAGGCAGGAATTAATTATGTCCTATGCGAGGGAAGGTAAAAACAGACAAAAATAAGTTCCGGTGCGGGCCCGTGCTACTGCGGAGCAAAGCTGCAGGGGGTCGGACCACGTTCTGCCGAAAAATTCCAAAATGATGAAAAGAATTTGGATGGGGGGAAACTTGGAGACTGGAAAAAAAAAAAAAAAAGAAACTTCCGATGCGGGGAATCGAACCCCGCGCTACCGCGACCAGATTAAGTCATCCTGTTTTCATTTTTCTCTGAGAGGCGGTAATGTTACCGATACACCACATCGGATGCAAAAGATGGCAGAGTTAATTTGTGAAAAGCTGACCCGGGGTTTTTGGGGTTTACACTGAAGGATGAAGAGACGTCCTTGGTGGAAGTAGAGTGTAGTCTCGGTAGTGCTGCCGGCGTTGATTGACGTGTACGCTGTGGTTTATGTTGAGAGGATTGTGTGGTATCGACGCGTGGGGATGAATGCAGTTGGGGCAGCTGTGTGCTGGATTGACGCGGGAAGACGACAGACGAGGGATAGGATAGACTTAGATGTGGAAGGCTGTATGAGCGGAGTGAATAGAACGGCAATGGAAAGGTGTGGCGGTCGAGGCTCGTTGGCGGCGTTGTCCGACTGATGCGGTAGTCGAGGCGTGGCGGGCAATCCAGGCGGACAATGACTTGGAGGCAGGGCAGTGTGAGCTATCGTATTGACGCTGTACGCGTGCAGTCGAAAGCTGGTGCGGTCTGGGCAGACGATGGACGAGAAGTTGTTGTGGCCAAGCTGGTGGTCGTCGGCCGGTTGCGGGAGCTGTCGGGGTCACATCACGTGCAACGGTCAAATTGGCTGTAATATATTGGGCCGACATAACATAATGGCCTATGGGCCTAATGAAAAAAAGAAATAGGCCCGTAGGGCCTATTAAAAGACCCTAAGGGTTTTTTAAATGAAGTGTGGGGTGCGCCTTATGTCACCGCGGTCGGGGGACTGGGCCGCTCCGCTTGGCCCAGCCCCCCGCCCCATGCACGCTGTCCCCTCGCCAAGGCTCGGGGGCCCACACGTCGGCTCCGCCTCCAGGTGGGGGCACATCCGCAAAAAACCCAAAAACCACGGCTGCGCCGTGGTTTTTGGGGGTTTTTTCTAGAGAGGCGGTAATGTTAGCCGATACACCACACCCGAGGTACGAGTCATCGAAGTTGAACAATCATGATTAGACTCGACAAAATACACATGAAGAAAAAAAAAGAGAAAGTCATGTTGTGCCCACCTCCGTATTTCCTGCCCAGGTCGCCCATTCGATCTTGACGCCCCATCGCGCCCCCTCCCGCTGCCTGAAATAGCGCGCCCTACACCTTGAATTGCGCCTCAGCCTCCTGAAGTGCGACGCCAGTCCCTCGACATCAGCAAATTCTTCGCGACAGACGTTGCACTGGAAAGGCTGGCGCAGAAATCAGCGAACATGAACGATACGGTTGGATGAAGGGAACTTACCGCAGGCGGTGGCGGCATCTCCTCGTTCTCGGGCTCCTACGAGGCGGTTAGAAAAGATTAGACACCAGAGCAAAAACCGACTCGCCGGCTCTGCGTCCTGCTGCGCATCAACTAATAGCTGTCCGACGTCTTCAGGGTCGTCCTCTACCCCATCATCCGAATCCGAATCGTCGTCCTGGTGGGGATCAGAGCCGTGTCGCAAAGACAGCCAAGAGTACTCACCAGAAGGAGCATTCTCCGAGCCTGCTTTCTGGGCCGCCGAGGAAGGGCAGTCGACTTGATGACAGTCAGTAAAAGAAGAATAAGGAGGTATTGAACATACGGGGCCTTGCGGAGCACTGCTTGGTCCCTGTGCCATTCGATGTTCAGCAAGGATAATGGAAGAGCTTGGCATTGACTCACTGCCTCTGGGGGCGCTTCCGAGTCGGATCCCTGAAGACGTCGACGATGAGCACGTGCTGGAAGGTGTAAGTGGAAAACATGCCTCTACACCACGCTTCTAAAGACGGGAGGGGCGTGTTAATGGTAATGGATGATACTTCAGGGGTACATACAGAAGGTCCGGCTTCGTTCGTAGCCTTGGTATGGGTCAGCAAGAGGCGACATCGTGGTCGAGCAGCGGCTTACCAAGCTCGCGATCCATCCCGCAATGTCGCGCATGTCGCCGAACTTGTCTCTCGTATACTCTGGATTTCGGATTTTGAAACTGGTCGGATTGCAATTCGACTTGGGATCGTTGACATGATCCCGGATGTCGCGAAATTGCTTGCGGCACGTTACGCACTTGTGGTTTGCCCCGCTGCTGCGTGAAGAAGCGGCCGGTGCGCCCTGGGGAGACGAATAAGGTCAATCGCCAGCGGCACGGGGCAATCAGACATACCTCAGCGAATACCCACTGGAGCCGTTCGCCCGTCCGACGACCATCTACGACGAGCTGGTACCCGTTGGTCAGACGGCACCTGCCCTCGAGTGGAGCTGCCTCGAGATGACCGCCGATGTCGTCCTTTTGGTGGCTGCATCCATAGCAGTGCGCTTTGATGACAGCATTGGCGAGTGCCGCTCTACGTTCCCGAGCGACAGCGATGACGGACTTCTTGCCCTTGGCAGTAGCGCTGAAGGGTGGCGGCACGGCGTCGATGTCCATTGGGTCGTTGTCCCCGTCGTGCAGATGGGCGAGGTCGACGACGACGGGCTCAGGAGGAGGGGGGATGTCGGGGAGGCGGAGCCGGCGGACACGGGTGTGGTTGGTCGTACCGCATACCGGAACGCGGTGAAAGGCGACGAGATGGGTGAGGAGATCGTGCCCCGAGAACTTGTGCGTTCCGCACGAAGGTACTGGACACAGATTGCTCGCTTGCGCCGCGTTGATGTCGGCCAAGTGTGTCTTTAGGTGGACGAAATAGGCTGCATTCTTGAGAAATCTAAGGCGGTGTGAGTATCGATAACGAGGGCATGGAAAAGCCACGTACTGGTGCATCTGGACCTCGATAGGGAGACTTGCGTCGAACACGCAAAACGGGCAGTACATCGGTACGAGAGCTACCCCGTGGACGACGTAGCCATGGAATTCCGCCAGCAGCCCGTTGAATCCGCTCCCCACCTCGTACTCGATGCAGTTGTCGACGTAGCTGATGCCGATGGGCGTATGGTCGACATCGCCCTCGACACGCTTGCGGAACGGAGCGAATATGTGCGAGTGCTCACAGCAGTGGTCTTCCCACAGGAGCCCATCACCCAGCTCGTCGACGTACCTGAAAGATGGTCGGAGGAGAATGAGGAGAGGAGCGGAAAACGGACCACTGCGGGCAGATGGCGCAGTAATGGAGTTTGACTTTCGCATGCACGTTGAGTGAATGGACAAGCCCAAAGTGGTTGCGCCAGTCGTCAGCGTGGTCTTCCATACACATCTCGCCATCCTCAAGGCGCCATCGACAGTGCCGGGTAGGGTTCTTCTTCGTCGTAGGGAAAGCGAGCGACTCGATGTGTGTTTCGACGTGGTCTGTAGGCCATTGCTGACGCATAGCAGTACGAGTCCATTTCTATTTTTGATGATTTGATCCGGATTTAAGACTCCGCTTTCCGGTCTCGGTGCTCGGTGCTCGGTGCTCGGTGCTCGGTGCTCGGTGCTAATGCTTCAAGTGTTAACGTTTTTGATGAAGAGTAAATTATAATTAAATTGGAACAATATTTCGGATGTCAGTAGAGCAGAGCATAAACCTCCTCCCCCTCCCCCGCCAACCACGCCGGTGCGCTCACAATTCTTCTGCATAAATAGCAGTACATAATCCTTCTGCCCCGTGTCTATGCAGAGTGAGCGGAGGGATGTTCCTTAAGTAATCACCCTCAACATAAGTCCGACGTGTTCCGATACCATCGTGATACCAAGTCTTGCCTGTTCGATCCACAGCTACAGAAGTGAAGTGGCCGATCTGCGGAGTACTTTGACAGAAATAGACTAGTCCTCGAAGACGAAGATGTTTGCCTCCAATTCGCGTTGAAAATGACAATTCTTCATCAAGAATTAATCTGTCAGAATCAATAGTAACAAAGAGAATTGGTGGTACATCCTCCACTGTAGTTGTTCTTCTAGTCCTCATCGCGATTCCATTGAGACGACATTGAGGACAATTGGTGCTTGGTTGTGAAAAGAAATACTCGAACCATGCCGAGAGAGGGACACCGTTGGGATAGAAATCTTGTATCGCCCGCACATTGCCTACATGCACAATTTGAGTCAAAACACTGATTTCGCCAGGGACTCGGAAGTGGCATGATGGACAGGATAGAACGGATTTAGCATAGCTTAATCTGTTCGTTATAGCCATGTATAAGGTGTCCAGTCTGAGACCTTGGGGTCCAATGGGAAATTCGTGTGGATTTTGGAGGTGCAGAATTCGTCGGACATTATCTCGGGCAGTTTCGGGTTGATGTGGTGTCGTTTGTAAATTGAGAATCCATAGACCCAGCAGGGCATGCATTTGAGTGAATTTTGTGGACCATGCAGTGGGATTGTCGCGTAGGATAAAGGACAAAGGCACAAAAAGACTGTCGTAAGCACAGCTATAGTTGCGGCTGTCCCAAATTAGACCCAGGGGATTTTGACTTTGAGGGGCGGAATTGCTGGCTGTAGCAGTAGCAGGCATCAGTAGTCTGGAACGCTTGGCACTTGGGTTGGTGGGTAGGGTATTAACAACTTTCCACTTTTTATTATTGCACACTGCGCCGTCTAAAAGGACCGCTGATTCTTTATCTTTGGCCGAAAGAGTGGGATGCCATTTACCGTACGAGATGTCACCAGCAGGTTTGTCTTTGAACGGGTTGAATCTAATTGCTTCGTGAAAATGAAGAGGGTCCGAGGTTGATTTTTTCCAGTTTCTGTAAGCCTGCAGCAATGTGCCTCGATAAATTCCCGTTACTTGGGCAGGTAACTTTCCAGCGAAACGCAAAGTGGTTATCTCGTCGAGGATTTCTAGCTCTCGAAATTCTTGCCTGAGGTATCCGGTCATGCCACTGGTGATTTTTCGAAAGTCGAATTCCTGCAGAATGACGGTACCCGCAGCCTCTGTTCCTCGAGATAGAGTGACATAGACAGCTCGATGATCTTTGCAATTATTGAGATGTACCACATTGGGATTGAGTGATTTACCCTGGGAAGCATAATCCGTCATTGCAAACCAGGTGAGCGCCAATACTTGTTCGCGGTATAGGGATAAGAGGGTGTCGTCAGGAAGAAGGCAGGTCACATGGGTAGACGTTCGGCACAACGGGACCACGTTTAGCGGTAACCCTGGAATTTGAACAGTCCTCC